TAGGAAAAACTTAAAAACTTATTTTCAGTAACACCCCCCCCCCGCAACACACACACACACAGCATGTGTCATCACTACAGCATTTTATCTATTAATGAGGGCATGCCTTCTTTCCATTTTGGCTCTATCTACTCATGTTCTCAAATGGTTTGGTCTGATAAATGAGTATTCCCTTTAAGCCCTTACAATGCAACTCATTTGAAGGCAGGGTTTAAATGAGTTCACCAGACCCAAGATAAATGATAAAGAGGTATTTTATTGGGGATTGATACAGATAAAAGTAAATAACTGCCACAGCCTTTGTGTTCCAGAAGTTGCAGTCTATGCCCAACCAATGTTCTCCGCAACCCAAGACAGCATGCACCCACTGCCCCTTTACCTTAAAGGGGTCACATCTACACCTGAAACCACTACAAATTTACTGGCAAGGCAAGATATCACTACAGTTCCCCTTTTGTCTAAGTAAGAGGGTTTTAACCCTGATACAAAAACTATTTACAATGATAACAAATGTCAAGTATATTTCAGGAAAAGGAAAGGTAAAAACATACACAAATTAAAACCTACAACCAGCAAGAACAACAATTAGCAATAGACACATTCTACATGTCCAGTTTCAAGGTAATGGCATATAACAGATATTACTTCAATAGCTGTTCTAATCTGGAAAGTTCAAGTCCTGTACCTAGTATTTTTCATCTAAGATAAGAGATGATATTAGCTGTGACTGTCTGGTCTTCAACTTCATCAAAGACCTGAGAAGGAAAATAACATTGCTAGGGTAGGCAGGAAGAGCAAGCATGAGACTTCCTAAAGGTGCAAGCGAAGCCAGAAACAGCAGGCTACCCGGACAGTCACCCAAGGTCTCACAACATTGGGGCAAGCAACTTTGGCTAAAGCCTAGGGCATCTGACAGACCAACACAGAAGCAGGGAAGTTGAAAGTCTGTCTGACCCTGACTTGGCAAGGTTCAGCAGTCTCTTTATCTCCTGCTAGCCCAGTTGGGACAACATGTCTAAGATCAGTGTTCAAGATGGGGGGCAGTTCTATGCCCAAGAGGCCAGTAGTCAAAAAGAGAATCAACTCCAAATGTAGTGTCATCGGTGCCCACCATACTCTTGGGAATAGCTTGGTGCTGTCAGGAACAATTGTGTCTCATATCAATGGAGTTCTAAATTATTAAAAACATTTAAATGGCATATTCTGTATTTCTTTGAAGTGTCTGAAGATCAAATATCTATGTTGGGTACATGTCTGAGCACATATAGAACCTGACTAATGTCATAAGGCATAAGAAGCATGGGTAACTATAATCTGTAATTTTCAGAAACATAATTGCTCAGTGACTGAAGCTTTTCAAAATAATTTAAACAATCTTAAAACCAATGTTCCAAAGTGTTCCTTGTAATAGAAAGGTAGAAAACAGCTTACGGTTTATTCGCTTGTAAAGGTAATACTAGGAATTGACTGGGGTGGCTAATGACAGAAGATAATGAGTATGTGACAATTTTTTCCTTAATACATTGACATTTTTTTATTTTTTTTATTTTTCCGTTTTTATTTTACATATCAATCCCAATTCTCTCTCCCTCCCTCTCTTCCTCCTGAGTATGTGGCATTTTAAAAACTGAATTTATATTCAAATATTTATTAAAAAGTTAACCAAAAATACTTTAAATTACCCTTAGACCTTTGAAGATGACTACAACAATCATCTATATTTTAACATTAAAATTGAGTATCTCATACACCCCACACTATATTTATATTTTGCATTTCAATATAGTCTTATTCACTAATAAATAGTACATTTGCTATTATAACAATACATATTTTATAGTATGTCAATATATTTTCTTGTACATCCTTTATGATTCCTGATAATAAATAATACAATAAATTACTAGGAAATTTTAACAAATAAACTTATGACAGATTTAGAGGGAAGAAAAATAAGTTAAAACATGGTTCCTGTCACTAAGAACCTCATACTCTAAGGGCAAGTAAACAGACAACACAATGTGACAACTTTTGAGGAGAATGTTACAAAGGAAGATGTGAACTTTAGAGGTGAGAGATTTTGCCAAACCAGGAGCTGATGGTAAAGGAAGGGGAGAAGCCTGTGAGTGTATCTATCACACAACCTGCACAAGGGGCAGAGGTAAGGGGGCAAGCATGGCCAGGCAACTGCAAGTGCTTATCAGTATGACTGAACTGAAAGACACAGAATGGAACGTTGTGAGAGAAAAGGCTACAGGGGTAAGCCAGGATGCATCGTTAAAAGCCTCCCTGGTCTTTCAGACTCATCTTCTACTTGACTGTAGCAAATGATTTAAATTAGATGTGACACACTAATTAAGAAGATTGATCTGTCAACAGTGAAAGGAAGGAGTTTCATTTAGGAGGTTATCCTAGCCTTGTCAATTTCAAACAAGGATAAGAAGTAAAGGAGCAGAGAAAATATGGAGAAGGGTTGGATTGCTCAGCTATTTAGATAACTAAACCAGTAAGAACTGATTCTTGGCTGGATGGTCTCAGAATGAGGAAAGCAGAAACACTCTTAACTACTTAGAAGCCCTGGCCACTTTCCTGGGTAGGGGCAAAAAGGATAACTAGTCTTTTGCTGGTGACTTAGCTATGGCTCCAACAGGTTGGCAGAAGTGTCTGGAAGAGAATGGGCAATGTGATGTAGAGTCATTGATGCGGACACCATAAGCTCCAGCAATGGTAGTGGCAATGAGGGAACAGGTGTCAGAGTATAAAAGGACAGCAGTCAGAACCTCCACAAACAGCCACGTATAGTTTCAGGGTGGCGAGTCTCTGAGGGAAATTCAGAAGACTGGTTAGAGTTTGAGAAGAGAATTGAGATGCTTGCCTCCAAACTAAGAACCACGAGAACTGAGTGTCAATCAAATCAACAACAAAAATGTATCAAAGATATTTAGAAAGTAAGCTACTTGTGTCTTCTTAGCAGCGATTTCAATTTTTTCTTTTTTGTGTGGGAAGAACAAGTTATAGAAGATGGAGAAAGAAATGCATGCGGAGAGCATCTGAGGCAAGGGATTATCTTTAGTACCCGAGGCTGGCAAGACAAAGGGAGGATTCAAAGTTGAGATCTCTACAACAAATATACTAATGTAGATGACAAGTATCACATACTTAAAAGGGGGGCAATAGAAGGTAAGGTTCCTAGTGCAAAGCTAGGATACTAATGTAAACCACAAGTGTCACACACTTGTAAAACAGTAAGAAAGCCCTATGAGTAGGGTTTCTAGTGAGATCTGTACTGGTTTTAGACAAGTAGGCTGGCTGAATCAGAGTTATCACCACACCCTTCCCTCTGCTTGCTTTGTTCTTCTGTTGGGTGTGGATTCTCTGACTGAGGACCCACTCCTCTCCCTGGCAAGAAACAATTTCATCACTCCTGCCCTTGCAGCTTAAGAAAGAGGCGGTTTCAGTCATGTTCCACTCCTAGTCTCAACGCGAGGCTGACAGAGAAAGTGCCATGGGTGAGATGGGCGCTTCCCCTTCCTTAGGGCATTCTGTGTCAGCAGGAAGAGGTGACAGGTAGAGCGCTCATTACGGGACATAGCCCACAACACCCACATATACATGCAGTGCCTTACAGTAAGCGCTTTACTGTTTCACTTCCCAGTTTTCTAGATTTCAAAGTGCTTTTTAATGATCTCTTCCTAAATGAGATCAGCAGGGTAGCTTCCTTCCCAATCACACACTGGCTAAGAGGGCATGAGCAGAGAACAGTGCTGCCTGGCCCAGAAATTATGGCATGTGACTGTCAGAAAGGACAGGGAAAAGACAGTAGAAAGACAGGCCGGCTATCTTCAAGCATTCAAATAGCAAACCTAGAAAACCAGAGAAGGACTATGTCAGTCTAGTCCTAGCAGGTAGAAACAGGGAGACAAGATAAATGCTATGGATGGTCTTTTGTTTTGAGGAGAATTTTTACTGACTGCAGCGAGCCTAGGAGAGTACTGCCTTATGATATCATGGAGAAACTACTATGGAAAGAGATGTTTTTGAACTCTGGCTGTCTGAAACTTCAGTGAACTGACAGGAAATTCATGAATAGTCCTGGAAACTGCCCTGCCTGGATTTCAAGATCATTTCCAACTCTAAGATATTAATAGATAATAATCATCCATGTGATGCAACTAAAAGAATTTGTATATGATGGGGCATCATTCTGATGGCTGTCTAGTTAGTAAATATTGCTCTCCTAGATTTTTTTTTTTTACACTGTGGTAGTTTGGTAAGAAATGTTTGGTAAGAATACATGGGGCTCTTGTATTTGAATACTTGTTGGTGTCTGGTTATTAATGCAATTTGGGAAAGTTTAGAAGGTGCAGTCTTGCTAGGAAAAGGTGTTAGTGGGCTTAAAGCCTCACCTCTGTTTACTCTCTGCATCCTGCTTTTGGTTGAAGACGTGATTGTTCAGCTTCCTGCTGCCTGCTACTTTCTTCCCTTGAAGTTATGGCGCTTACTGCTCTGGAACTATAGGCTAAATAAACTTTCTTCCATAAGCTGTTTTTGGTCATGATGTTTTGTCACAGCAACAGAAAGGTAAGGAATAATAACTATAGAAAACTCCATACAAATGACCACATTTGTAGACACTTTCTCTTATGGTTTACAGATTCAGGTGAGATAACCTGGAGAGGGAACACTGCTACATAATCGCCTTTTATGAAAGAAGAGAAACAAAGTTGAAAAGAGGATCCTCCCTGCAAAGATACATTTTAACAAGATCAAATAGGGCTTGGAGAACACTTTTTTTTTTTTTTTTTTTTTTTTTTTGTTAAGTAAGGAGAAGCAGTAAGCGTCCACTAGGTGGTGCTATCAGGATGTTGGCACAAGGTTGATAAGGGTAACAAACAGCCTTTGGTAGTTCTAACTGTCCTTAAATGGTCTCAAACTTTTCACAGTCTCAGCTTCTGAGACTAATCTCAGGTTTGTAGAAAAATAATGTAAATTTGGAGTTTCAGCTCCAAGATCAGATTAAGTTTAAATGCACCTTAGGTTTAATACATTTAAAAATAGTTTTCATTATTTGACAATTCAGTCTGTTTCACTGAAGTGAAAACTGTAGTTATTAACATGTGATTTTATTATTAATTTACACATACTGCAAACTATTCTCACTTGGTATAAGTGAGATAAGTGTATATTTATACTTATTTATAATGAATCTTTAAATAAGTTTCTTCAAGTAGCCCCTGAATCCTTGACAAATTAAATAGAAAATATCAGTAAATTCTATTACTTATAGTAATACAACAGTATAATGCAAATACATGAAACATTTCAAAATCATTCTATCACTCTATTATTTCTTATAAAAATAACATTTCATGATTTCTCACAGCATAAAACCTGAAACATTTTTTAACTAAAGTGCAAAATACAAAGTTTCACATTCAACTTTGTTTTCTTTTAAATGCTAAATATTTTAAAAACTGAGAAAAACATTATCATATTTAAAAATGTCTCTTGCAGTCTGAGTCATTTTAATTATGTGCCGTCAAAGCCATGAGGTCTACTGAGATTTTTCAACTTCTCTTCCCAGTTCTGCGTCTAGAATTTCCCCCCATGTATCTGCATCCATTGGGCACATTAATTTTTCTGGCAGGCTAGCAGGAGAACGTATGTTGCTGTATCTGCCACTTAGCCATTCATGTTTCACTTTACTCTTCTGGTAATTTCTTAGGAGTATTACCTGAAAGGGATACATACACATCATCATTCAAATCTCTGGCAGTGTGGCTAACATTCACAGGTCCGAGGTCACTGACAAGGAAATAAACATTTAACCACACTAATCAATTCACGTGTGCTTGTATGGGTTAGTTACATGTAGAGAGCATCCCATTGTACGTACTGCTTTCAGAAGATGGAACAGGAGAAAGGGACCTTTTCACCTCCCTTCTGACTAGTAAGGGAAGTTCTTGACTTCAAGATCTGAGAGATACAGAGATATACAAGGCTGGGTGGAAGACAGCGTGAAGACAATGTCAAGTAGAGAGAGAACAGTGATTCAGATCCGACTCCTCTATAGTCAATATACTGTGTATTACTCCAAGAAGAATTATTGAGTTCTCTTAATTGTGCTATAGCAACCCTGTCAAAACCATGACAAACTGCAATGGATAAACTCACCTTCCAGGTATAACCACTTTTTATATCATTGTCGATTTCTCTTTGGCACACAGCTCTTGCGGTCAAGCAGTAAGGTTTCCATAAGGCATCATTGTTTCTGATTGTGCGATGCCAACTCCAGCATGTCTCAGAAGCTCTGCACAAACTCTGAATGTCTAGCTGGCTGAAAATTTTACAAGTGACTTCTGGAGGCAGCAGTTCAACAAAGTTACTTTGACTCGTTGTACTTCTGCATTCAGCATCTGCAGAATTCATTCTGTACTGGGAACTTTCAAAGTATTGTTCCTTGTGGAAGTGTCAGTCATAGTTCAATATTTTATTCAACTGTTTTCATATGTGACCTACAGGGCAAAGTTTAAATACATTCAGTTTTTTTCAGACATAACCATGCACCCTATTCTGAATCAGAAAGTCCTAAGATATGATTTAAAGAACTTTGCATTTCTTGACTCCAGCCTATCAGCCTGCAAGAAGAAGCCAGTTCTGTGTCTGTCATGTATTACATGAAGACGGACAGGTGGAGTTAATAAAACAAATGGCTGCACATCTGACTTGTACATGGCAGACATTAAACATGTTCCCTTCTTTTTGAATATTTTTTTTAATTTTTAACAAATATGGTTGTTTCTACATGTTCTGTTTGTTGCTGCTCCTGAAAAACATGATCTTTAAAACTGGGAAATGATTCTCCACATTATGTATTTACTGAGTTTAGTAATAATGGCTACTTTAAGGACATGTTCAAAGATTTATTGAAGTGTGTGTGTGTGAACTTACACTTTACCATTGAACTCTTCGACTTCAAACTGACTTAACCACAAACTTGCTGGATTTTTAGTAATTTATATAACAACTATTAAATTATGTGGATGAAGTGGACAGGTGCTTACATAAAATGGACAAGGAGGAAATCCTGCTATAGTTACACTGTCTCATATATTCAATTAAGCTTTAAGGGTTGTGTTTGAGAAATGAATCTATTGTATGTGCATAGTTAAGAGCTCAGGATGACTGTCCCTGAATTTATCAGCGAGTGACAACTACAATGTAAACAGTTCATAATTTATCTAGGAATAGCATATGACTATGGATTTAAAGCCCGATTTCAGCTAATATTCTTAGAGACCACAGTGCAAGCTTTTGGCAGCATGGCTGGGAACATCGTCCTTGAGCTACTTTGCAGCATTAAAGAAAATTTGTGTTTATCTGCAGTCTATACTATTTACACTTCCCTTTATAATAGGAAATCATCGTACAACAGGGAGTTGAGGTACATCTAACTATCTCTTCACTCAGCTAATAACACGTCCCTTTTTCAGATGTATTACTCAAGTTCTTTTTAGTTACTGACATCACGGTGACTGGTTTGGATAGGCTGTTTACAATCCAAATTGGTTGTGGTTGGAATTGTGACGACTGTATTGAACAGGGGGCTCCATCAGATGGTTTTGCAAAACAGAAAGTAACTTAGTGGACACAACAAGACAAAAAACACATGATCAAATATTTGCAATGAAGCTTCTCCCCTCCTACCACTGATACAAACTCAAGCCAAAGCAGCATTTTAAAAAGAAACTCCTATTAGGAGGTTACACTATATTGCTGCTCCTCTTGGCTTCTTATTAGGCAAAAAATGCTTCCTTCTTGCCAAAGGAATTCCACAAGAGGCATACGTTTTTCAAGTGTACATTTTGTGGTGCCGTGGTCACACTGCCAAAAATCTCACTAGGAATCTTCTAAGTTATTTCTATTGGATTCCTGGGAAACTACTCCATTTATGCCTTTCAACCTCGCCAAACTACTCAGTTAGCTTGGAACCCTTGCATCCACCTTTGAAGGGTGTGTGTGTGTGTGTGTGTGTGTGTGTGTGTGTGTGTGTGTGTGTGTGTGTGCTTGGAACCCTTGCATCCACCTTTGCAGGATGTGTGTGTGTGTGTGTGTTTTGCCTGCGGGTGAGTCTGAGTAGTAGTGCAAGTGCAGTGCCACCAGAAGCCAGACGTGGGCGTCGGATGCCCGACCTGGAGAAACAGACAGTGGCAGTGGCGAGCCCCCTCCGTGGGTGCTGGGAAGTAAACCTGGGTCATCGGGAAGAGCGAACAGTGCTCGCAGCCTCTGGGCCATGTCCAGCCCGCCCACCACTCCTTCTGTCAAAAGTCACTAAGAGTAGGGGAGCGGAGCAAGAGCACTGCCCGGACAGACTAGTTCTCGGGGAGCCCAAACCGGTCCGGCCGAGCGTAACCTCATCCCTGTGCGCTGTGAGGGAGGGTGCCGACCGAAGAACCCGGCCATCCCTGTGTGCTGTGAGGGAGGGTGCCGACCGAGGAACCGAACAACCGACCGCCATCGAGCAGGCACGCCCCGCTCCGGGAAGGACGCGGCCGCCTCTCCTACCTACAGCCGCGGAGCCGGCTCCTCCCGCGATTTCAGTCCAGGGAATTTGAATCCTTTCCGGGAGGCCTTCATGTCCCGCCCTCTCGCCTTCCGCTCCTCCCATTCGGGGCGCGCGTTGCCTTCTGGGCTTCGTCGTTTTTCCTGGGTTTCATCACCGAAAGGGAAGAGAAGAAAGGCGGCTGGTGACTACAAGGTCCAGAAGCCCCGTTGAGTGACACCCACCGCGTGGGCGGGGCTCCAGAAGGGCGGGACTCTCAGTGAGTTTTGGTTGCTAAAAAGGGCGGCGGGCGGCTAGGGTCTGCGCGCCCAGGCTTTCCCTCCCCTGGAGTCGCTCCCTACCTTCCGAGGCGCCCCCTCCCTGCCATGCTTACGTGGTTAAGGATGCTGAAAAATTAGTTCACGTGGTGTTTACTTTTTTCTTAAATAGGTGGTTATTTAAATGTTTAGATGATAAGATCGTGTCACTCCCTTCCTTAGTTTCTTTATAGTAAACATTATAGGGAGCTGGCTAGGGAAGCTTGACTCTCAATGCAGTGTGCACTTCATCTAGTAGCATCTAGCAAAAACTGTGGTGAAATATCTAGGACCACCGAGTCTGCTATGGAACCGTAACCCTTTCTGCTTATGTGGTTATTAACATTTTGTTTTTGTGTCCAGATCTTTGTTTGCCAGCATTCAGCATTTACCCCCCACCCCTTGCCAGTCCTGCATCTAGTTTTGAATTTCTCTATAACTTCTTTTGCTTACTTCAGCCCTACCACTTTTAGTTTGGACAATCTGATTATAAAGATGCTGAAGCTAAGAGGCACTTGTTCCCCTGACCCTTGGCAGAGAGCATCATAGGGGACACCCTGGGAGATGTAATGGCCTCTTGGGGAACTTTGATATATCCTGTTATGAACTCAAGAGACCTTGACTCAACTGGGAAGACACATTGAAGAGTTGATTACCTACTGTAAGTTATTGTCCACATTCCCAGTTAACGTCTGAGATAAGTGAGAGACTGACTGATAAGAGAGGATCTGATCTTGGGGTGAGAGCTGAGGGAAAGGAGCTGCTCTCATAAAGGGCACATAAATCTGATCCAAACCACTTTCCACTAGCTGTCATTAAAACAAACAAACGAACACCATTATCAACAACAAGAAAAACCTTGGTTTACTATGGAAGATACGAGACAGAAATGCAAGGTGCTGGTGAGTTTTTTGTCAACTTGACACCTTGGAAGAAGGAACCTCACCCAGACATCTGTGGAGGCATTTTTTGGTTGTAGATCCATTGTGGATTGTCTTCCATAGGCAGGTGGTCCTGGGCTGTGTAAGAAGGCAAAATGAGCAAGCCACGGAAATCAAGCTAATAAGAGGTGTTCCTCCCGAGGTTCTGCTTCAAGATCTTAATCTTTCATTGCTCTCTGGAATTCCTAGTAATTTTTGAGTTCATTCTCCCTTAGGATGTTTCTGAACCTGTCATTTTCTGTATCTTTACCGTGGCTTAACATTATGCTGAACATGCCGGCCTTAACCAGAAGAGGGCACCATTGACCTATTGCTGGTATCCCCGCCTTCTCTACCCCTCCTCCCCACCCCCCACAACTAAGTTTAGTAACTGTGTTAAATTTAGTAACTGTTTTCTGGACTGGACAGGTCTGCAGCACTTATAAACTTACAGCAGCTGTTGTTACCTGCACAAGACCTACACTAAATAGCCAGTCAACATTCTAGTGTATAGGAATGGGGGGCAGGAGGATAGTTCAAGAGCTTCTACCCTTAACTGAGGAGTTTAAGCTAGCTGATGGCTTCTGGGGGGTTTTCTTAAAGGGCATGTCATATGATAGGTCAAGCAAGCCCTGGTGGATGGCTCCACACCCAGGAGTAAATGGCAACAGCAATTGGAGTCCATGGATGGATGAGAGTGAGAAGGAAAAGATGAAGGAGGAGAGCTGGGGAGGGGAAGTGAATCTGAGAGGTGTGAGAAGGAGGAGGAGGAGTGTTGAATAGCATCAGACCGATGGGATTCTTTTTTTTTTTTTTAGTAAAACTATATGGATATTCATAGATTGGAAGACTAAACACTAAGTATTTGAAAATGCTGGTTCTTATCAATGGATTGGTGCATTGCAATGTGCTCTAACATGAGGATGGAGGCGTCTGGGATATGCTGGAGCCTCACTGAAGCGTCAGCATTGGTTGGGAATCTTGAAGGCACCTTGTACTTCTACTCATATATTATCCTGACAAACACACTGCCATTTATGCTGAGATAAACATGTCAAAAAACATGGGCTGGGCCCTCTTTGAAGACTTATTAATTTCCATATATTTTCCCAGATTTTTTATTTATTTTAATTACTTATTTTTATTTTTGAATTAAGTGTGTGTGTGTGTGTGTGGTTTTTCGAGATGTGAGTTCTCTGTGTAACAGTCCTAGCTCTCCTAGAACTCACTTTGTGGACCAGGCTGGCCTCAAACTCACAGAGATACAACTGCCTCTGCCTCCCGAATGCAGGAATTAAAGACATATGCCACCACCACTTTGTCCCTATTGCTTTTTAATTTTTAATTAAATATAATCACATCATCTCCCCCTTTCCCTTCCTAAATCCAGTCCCTCCTAGTGTCCTACTTCCTCTTGAAATCATGAGCGCGCGCGCGCACACACACACACACACACACACACAGAGCCTTCTCAGAGTTACTTGTTCAAGGCATACAAGTTCAGGGTTGTCCACTTAGTATTGGATAACCCATTACGGGCTCATTTTTGGAGAATACTAATTCTTGTGTTTTCTGCATTCCTTGGTTGCCTATAGTTCTTTGCCTAGGGGTGTGGTTCTGTGAGATTTTCCATTATCATGTTAGCTGTCTATTGGTGTTCTCTTTGTTTGGGTCTTTTTTAGCTAGTCATATTGTTGAGGTGGGTGAACTGTCTCTGTCCTTTCTAGGAG